GGCATTAAAAAGTTGGTACGACTCTTGGAAAAATGCATCGCAAAGGAAGGTGACTGTGTAGAAAAGTGATGTAATTTGTTTTTGAAATTCTTAATAAATTGAGTTTTAAAAAGTGCGGCAACTTTTTGAAGACCCCTCGTATTTTCCGCTGAATAAACTTCCCTTTACTTTCTAAGTGTTGTTCATCTGAGTGATCACAAACCTGGGGCTTGTTCTTTCTGACAGTGCATCAAACCCCAGTAAAAGATCTTTCAAGGCAATCTGGTGGGCAGGTCCCTCCTTCTGAGGCACATTGCTTTCCAAGATTACTTGGGGTGACAGTACAACATGCTGTTAGTATTTGCTGAGTTTTTTAGTGTTAACATTCATGTTTAATAAAATGGGCATTGTCATTAGTTATCTGTTTCTTAATCCAACACTAAGATTGGGCCAATTCTTTGTATAACACCTACATCTGCTATTTCCAATCTTTTCTTCCACCACTTTTATCTTCGTTTTAAGTGACTGTGCAATTAATTATTCATCCACACACTGGATTAGTCATCAACACACTGACATGTTAACTTTGGGTTGTTTTTTCCTCCAACTTTTCACAGGATGACTCAAAATCCCACAGAAATGTCTCAAGGTTTTTACTCCACTTTTTTTAATGTTGTCGATTCCTTGGAAAACTTGCAATGTCTAAGATGAGTACACATCTGGCTGAGTGCACCTTTGTTTGCATTATTAAAAATAAAGTACACACTCAACAGTAAAAGAGAAGTCCAGTATGTGAAAGAGGAGAAAGTATTGTACATATTGTAAAGTTGACCATTTCTTTTATTAAAAAATCCATAGTACGTTACTGTCAAAAGCAAATACTGAAACTTTTAAAAAGAAACAATGCTAAAAGCATGCAAAACAGTAAACCCAGCAGATAGCAGCAACATCAGAACTTCAAGATTTTAAAAGGCCTTGGTAAATTGTATACATTGGATTCATTCGAGCTTACTTCTAGTAAAATAGGTAAAGAATTGTACTCTATAAAGACTTCGCCTGGTGCCCAAAGGACATTAGGAGTACAAGTTAGGCCTATTTTATACAGAAAACGAACCACGATTCTCAACATCCCTCAAGCAGTAAGAGTGCAAAATATCAGAACCAAAATCCCAACAGAGCCATTTCCCTTCCCTTGGCCCTTCCCCTTTCCTTAACTGCCATCATTTTTTGCATAGCTTTCTCCCCATTCTAAGACCTTGCATCTCTCTCTTAAGATTCAGTTACTGGTAGTAAGAGCATTAAGCTAAAACATGCTGGCAGTTTTGGCCCCTTTGGCTCTGCCCACCACTGGGATGCAACCACCAAGAGCTTCTCTGAAATTCAGTCTGGTCCTCAGACTGAAAGAGGTTCAGCACCCCTTCTATGCATTCTGGTATTTATTCCTAGGTGAATGGGTATGAGAGCTGGTGTGGTGATTACGGTGTTGGACTGGGGACTCAGGAGGTCTGGGTTCTAGTCTCCACTCAGTCATGAAGATCACTGGGTGACTCTGGGCCAGTCACTCACTCTCAGCCTGACCTGCCTCACAGGATTATTGGGAGGATAAAATGGAGCTATGTAAGATACCATGGATTTCTCACAAGGGGAGCAAAGGCAGGATATAAATGCAGTTTAATAATAGTAGTAGGGTAATTAAAAGGGTTGCAACCTTCCTTTGGCACCAGAGTCAGCATTTCATCTGTAGGGTGCCCCGACTGGAAAAGACCTTTCCTCAGTTACCATCCACCCAATCAATGATGATAGGGCACCTGCACGCAACTAGCCAAGTTATATCAAACATCTAATTAAAGCAGCAGCCCCACATTATCCCAGCTCTAGAGTATGCGTTTCAATTCCACCTATCCAGCAGATTGGACAGGTTCGACAACCCCCACCATCTCCTCTGGCAGCCACCATGCTGCTGCCAAATCAAAGTCTCAACCTGCATAGCACCCAGTAAGGTACAAAGCAAAACTGCAGGTCCTTCATAAGTTTTGAATGGTGACTTTGATGATAAAGGGCATTGGTTACTGGTGCAGACAGAACCATGATTTGCTGGCCAGAAGGAAAATAAATATACCAAGCCATTGGAAGGAAAGCTTTAGTTTCTTTGAAAAACTGACACATCACAGATCATACATGTCATAGTTACACCAATTGCTAGCAAATTAGAGAGCATATTACGCACCCGGTACTCTGTATTTGTGTGTCTCTTTCCTCCACTTTACAATATGGTTTGTAATTTTCTTTATAAACTGTGGAACATGGCAGGCTTAATATGGCAGGCAACCAAAAGGACTTTTAAGGAATTGATGACTACAGTCAAGTCTCTCTGGCTTTCCTTCTCATTTTCTGCCCATCCAAGCAGGTTTGTAATATTGACAGAACCTTAGAGAACAAGGCAACTTTAAATGCAGAATCTGCAGTGTTAATGACAGTAGAAAAGAACAATGGTGCTATTTTTCATTAAATATTTTTTTCTTCTTAGGTAAGGAACAATAGTTTTATGGAAAACAACCAACATGGTCTTCCGACAAGGACAATGAACGTATCTTCCTTAAAATGGTGGGGTTTTCTTCTTTTATCATCATTGATAAGAAGTAGCTTGTAAAATGGATTAAGGGGTTAGGAGTCTGTGCAAATGGGTAATAGAGTCCACAGTAAGACCAACACTAGAGGCAACTTTTATCTTCTAACACTGCTACTGCCTAAGCTCCATTCATTTAAATAGAGAATTGGAGTTGTGGTTAATAACATGAGCTGAAAGTTCCTAGTTCAAAATCTCAGCTCAGCCAAGAACTCTTCAAGTGGTCTTCAGTAAGCTGGTCATTTCACAGCAAATCACAGCAAATCCCTTGTCCTACCCATTATATGGCATAATACTAGGCTGTCTTTCAAGGTGATGCAGTAGCCATGAAAAAATACATCTGAACAGCTAGATTTCACATCACAGTAGCAAAATATGCAGCACAACATCATGTGGCATATCTGTGCTCTGTGCATCTTACCAAGCTGTGCTTTGAATTAGACAGACATCCACGATGTATGGACCTTGTTCCTCTCAGGAGGGGTTGAGGCTCACTGGTGGAGCACCTGCTTTGCACACAGAAAGTCAGCACTGGTGCCCAGCATCTCCAGATAGCACAGAAAAACCCTTGCCTGAAATACCATACAGCTGATGCCATCCTGCATCAGTTAAGAATACAGGGCTAGAGGTGCCAATGGTCTGTCACAGGATGTGGAAACTCCCTTTGCCCACAGTTGCTCTCTCCCCCATTCTAATTATTTTACTTATGATGTAACATCGTTATGGCATGGAGAAAGCTGTCTCTGGATGCAAGACTCTAACACCGCTTTCTCCAACTTGATGCCCTTCAGATAATTTGGATGACAATTCCCAATGTTCCTGTCCATGAGCCATGCTGTCTGGGGCTTATGGGAGCTGGAATCACAAACAACTAGAGGGCACAAGGCTGGGGGAGGCTGGTATAGCAGTTTCTCTTTCCTTCCATCCCAACAGAAATTTATAAGTGGCAGTTTTGCTTTAGAGAAACACCTTGCGAACACCAGTCACACTGTATGGGTTAAGACATGTCAGTGCCTACAACAGCCCTGTTTGTGTTAGCAACCCATATCTCCAGATAAAGGACCAAACAAACAAAGTGCAGAACTGTATCTAAGCCCTTATTATGGTACAAAATAACTGATACTTAAATCAAGCATGAATCTGTTGGTAGTAATACTTACATCTGAAATACTATCAGAATAGTAGAATTCTGAAAAGTCATCAGAACTGCCCTAACTCATTAAAACAAGCAAGCATACATACATAGTGAGTCTTTTATGCAAAGGTGCAGATAGAGCATATTATGGGGTGGCCAAACTGAGGCTCGGGGGTCTCATGCAGCTCTCTGGGTTTATTTTGTGGCTTACTGCTCGCTGTTGTGGGTGCCTGCTTGCCACCTGCTGCCACCGCCCGTGGGCACCCGCTTGCAGTTCTCAAGCATCTGACATGTACCGTATGTGGCTCTTCCACTGAGCGAGTCTTGTGTATTTATTACACTTGCATATTACACATTCTTCCTATAAGGGACCCATGTCATCTGACATAATCCTCCTCTCTTCCATATCGGCACAAAACCCTGCAAGGCAGGTTAGGCTGAGGGTGCTGCCTGGCCCCACATCTCCCAGTGGGCTTCGTGGCTGAGTGCAGACTAGAGCCAGAATCTCCGCAGTCCTAGTCCAGGACTCGCACCATCACACCATGCTGCTTAATTATGCATCAAGCATGCTTCATGTTTAATGTTTCCATCGTTATTTTAGCTTTTCCTAATCTAGTGCCTTTCAGATGTTTTGGACTACAACTCTTAGCATTTCTGACCATGGAACATGTAAGGTGGGGCTTAGGGGAACTGCCCCTAATCATCTGGCTGAAGAAGTGTGTATGGACGCTGTGTGTACCCCCCAAACTGGCCCCTGGCCCCATTTCCAAAAACCGGGAGACAGACAATAAAACGGAGGAATCTGACATCATCCGATGTAGCGCTATACATCTCTTAGCTTCCCCAACCAAGGTAGAAACTTCTCCCTTCCCCACCAAGGAAGAAACTTGGAATGCTGTAAAAAGAGAAGGAAGGCTTTCTGCGATGGGGGCGGCATAAAAATGCTATAATAAAATAAATAAAAAATAAAGTCGTCTTGCAAAAGCTCCACCGAAAGACTGGCACAGTGGGTGCACATGCTTCAGGAAGTGCAAAAATGTCGATAAGTGATACTCAAAATGCATTTAATGGGGCGAGTCTAAAGTTACGCTCCAAGAAATAAGTTTAATTGGATTTACTGAAGGAGATTTTGGCGGAAGCACATTTAAAGGTTCGGGATATAAATCTATTCCCGGAATCGAAACTTCGTTTCTTCTGTTGCACAAGTCGGTGAAAACAAACTGAACACCGTGTGAGTGTGCGCGCGCGCGCGAGACTTACCGAACTTGGCCTGCTTCTTTGCACCTTTGCGAGTTTGGGGCTCCTCTTTGGAACCCGAACAGTCTACAGCGGTATTCCCATCCGTCATTGCCCAGACTCAAGTATGTGGACGTGCCGGCGAGCTCATCGTTATCCTAGGAAAGACTCCAACTGTTGTCTGCAAGGGATGCTCCCGCTACTTTCCTCCTCCTCCTCCTCCTCCTCCTCCTCCGTCTCGCCCCGCCTCGCCCCCACCCCGCCCTCCTCTACAGCTGCCCAGATGCGCCTCCCGGGCTCCACCGCAGGGAAATCACGCCGGCCGTTACTCACCGCAGCGCCCCTCCCGCAGTTCCCATTGGCGGGCTTTGCCTCCTCTCGCCTCCGGATGGGTTGCAGGAGGAGTCCGTCTCCGAGAGGGTCCACCAAGCGTGAGGGGGCGGGCGCCCTCTGCTGGAGCAGAGCAGCGGGACGGCCGAGCACGCTGTGATGTGGCACTTGCTTGAGCTTGGGGAGAGGACCGAGGCGGGGTGTCTGGGAGCCACGGAGTTTTATTGCGGAGAGCTCGGCTTCGCCGTTTCTGGGAGGAAACCGAGTGATTCCCTATTACTCTTCAGGCAGAGCCTTTTAACAGCTCCGTCCTTTTCAAATAGAGGGCTTGCTCCCTCTGTTTTTCCTCCTCCTAAGTGTTTGGAAAGCTATGGAAGAGCCATTTCTTCTAGACGTTGTATTAAAGAACTTTTTCTAGGTCTCCCCCTTTAGAAACAACCGCTTCCTGTTCGCATTTCTGGGTGTACTTGAAACAGTCATTATTTCAGAGTTGAACTTAATAAGAACTTTATTAGAGGAGGGAGGTAATTCTAATAATAATAGCTCTTCAATAAGTCTCCAAAAATGAGATAGGTCAGTTCCAGAAAGGTCACAGCCTTGAGTTTACAAGAGCTGAACAGCACTGCCACGGATAGGACATTCTGGAGGACATTCATTCATAGGATTGCACTATCTTGGAGACAACTTGGCGGCACACAGAAAAAGCAAAAAAAGAGCAGCCACTTCTTATTCCTCAGATCAATAATGCAGGTGCTTATTTTCCTGATTTCTATATATCTACCCCCAAACCTCTTAAAATGCCATTTCACAACCAGAAGGAACTCTTCACAAGCTCCCGTGCTATCACCATTTAAAATTCAATTGTTATGCTATATTTATGCACTTTTATGTTCTTTCAGTCGAAATTCCGGATTAGGATGCAGAACAGTAAAGAGGAGTAAGTTCCAAGCAAATACTGGGAACTAATGTGTTCTGCGTGGGCCTGCCTTTGAAAACAGATGCTCCAGCTAATTCAAAACAGAGCAGTGCGGCTGTTAACTAGAGAGCACAGCACTCTGGTCCTCTGTCAGCTGCACTGGCTGCCCTGTTGTTGGGCAATTCAAGTCAAAGTGCTGACCTTAACATATAAAGCCCTAACAGCTTGGGGCTGGGATAACTGAAAGAACGCCTGTCTATCTGTGTTCCTACCAGACCACTAAGATCTTCAAGGGAGGTTGGACTAAACTCCCAGGATACCTCAGCCATCTTTTTTCTTTCCAAAGTATTTCAATCCAAGCCTACTATTCCACTGTCCCCAGATGTGGTCAGTCAGCATTGTGTAGCCCATTGAATAGTCAGTCCCCATTTGGGCTGTCTTGATTCACAGAGGCACCTCCCTCCCTCTCTCTCTCTGGGACAGTTCTGCAAACCATGGGATTCTGGTAAATTTACAGATGCCAGCCTCTAATGGATGGATGGTGCTGTTTTGGCTACATAAACAACAGCATGCCCAAACATGAGAAATGATAGGGAAAAGTTGGCCTGGGAACAAAATGGTGCAATGTGGAGTCTGGGATTTCTCCACTGACTTTTATAGGCAGCTTTTACTCCTGTGCATTGGGTGTTTAAATAGCTTCTCAGTGTGAACCAGAAAAAGTAGGGTAATTACACTTTTTTAAAATCAATGTGCTTTTGTTTTGTCTACCTTTACCAGCTACTTGAGTCCATTCTCATTCTCACCCCATTTTCAGATATCCTTCTCTTATTCAGTATTCCATGATAAGTGGGGTGTTTGGCATTCTCATTCTTCCAGTTAGATTCCCCCTTAAGGATGGAAATGATTGCATCATATTCCACCTTTTCTTTCTTTTCAAGCAACCCAAAGTGACTTGCATAGTCCTCCTCTCCATGTTATTCTTACAACAACCTGGTGAGGTAGGTTAGGCTGAGATTCAGTGACTGCTCAAAGTTACCCAGTGTCCTCCATGGCCAAGTGGGGACTAAAGTTTGTAAACCTTGGATTTACCCTGAGTCAGCAGATACTTTTCTCTTGCCATTGCTTCCTTGGCTGCCTAGATACAAGAATTTAAATAACTGCATCAGGAATTGGGCAAGAATAATGATGATATTTTCAGCAAGTCAGAATACATTTCTTTAAAATCAGATAAGTTCTTTGAGGACATTATCCTGAAAAAGTGAGATGAAACCCTAATTTTTTATCACCTTATTTATGTGACCAAAAGAGAGGGACAGACAAACATTAAGTACATTTTTCTAAAAGGAAACAGAAATCTTTTAAGGAGTAACTCATTGGTGACATAGAATTTCAATATACAGGCTTTCTAGATTTTCTCTTTAACCTGCTATTTCTGTTTCTGTGTTGTGTGTGTGTAGGATTAGAACTGGATCGCTATACATCTGTTGTTGTTTCTATTCCTGTCTTTTGTTATGTTCTGCTACATAACCTATATTTGGTGGGTGGAACCTAGTGGGATGCTTCAGATTCTCATCCCCCACCCCAAACTTCCTCAATGAAATTTCCTCCACACACAGCAATACCTGTTCTAACTACCTTAATAGTCCACCTTATCATTCTTTTACCCGTAAAAACAGGATAATGGGAGTTGCATGTTTTTTCCCATAGAGATCAAATTGCACTGCCTTTTGGTTTTCTGTGCTATTTCTTTGAGGAGTCTCTTAGTAGCGCTGTGGCATAGGGAAACGCAGCAGAACTGGAACTACACTGGTGGATGGTGTTGGTTTCCCTCCATGATTCCTAAAATGCTGCATTTTCATGACTCAGGAAAAGTCTTGGAAAAATATTCGAAAGATACACTCAAGGATGCCAGCATCATCTAAAACACCTGCTTTCCCCTGATCATTCAGTCCTATTGACTACATGATCCCCTACTCGCTAGGAAAACCAACTATGGGATGGATCAGGTCCATAAAATTCTATGGTCTTTTGTTAAGAAGAGCTGAGGTTGTCAGGGACAGAGCATCTGGGAGGGCTCCCACTCATAGGGTTGCCGTAATCAGAGGCAACAGCATGCATGGCAGAAGTGCAGATGCAAAGGGTGCCTTCTGTGCAAAACATCAGGATAGTCTTTGACCATCTGCGTGTTCAGCTTTGGAGCATGCAGGAAGGAGTGTGTGGCGCCACATACTTTCATATGGTTATTGTGGCCATCTGTCCTCTCTAATACACCGCTAAACAAAATTGGCAGGCTTAACTATTATAGGTCTGGTTACCTGACCACTGAGTCCTGAATGTTACACTTAGGTGTCCAAATAGGTTTGCAATCCTGTGTGTTACTCAGAAAAAGGTTTTGTGGTGTTCAGTTGAGCTTACTGTCTAATAGGTGGGCATAGGATTGCAGGATAAGACTTCTTGTCGTTTTTCCTATGTGTAATTTTTTGTAGTAACACGCAGCAGAATGAATTACATTAGTAGCATGAACTGTATATTGTAAGCTTTCTGAGAACATTTTTAAACTTTGTAAACATTTGTATACATATGCAGTATCCAGCAGGCCTGCAGTCCTCTAATACATGTCAGCCTACATGCCACAGATTAGTCTTATTACTTTAATGTTTTCAATATATATATTGAGATCAATATCTCAAGTACAGTGCACTTCTTTGGAATACAGACTATTGATTGATTGATTTATATCCTGCCTTTTTCCTACAAAGGACTCAAGGCAGCTTACATCATTCTCCTCCTCCATCTTATCCCCACAACAACAACCCTGTGAGGTAGGTTGGGCTGAGAGTCTGTGATTGGCCCAAAGTCACCCAGTTGGCTCCAGATCGCCTGAGTCCAAGTCCCATGCTCTTAACCACTACACCACACTGGCTCTCACTACACCACCATGTTACAGTATGATTAATTAGTACAATCTCTTGTCCCACTCTCCGTGTAACACAGGCAAGTATGTGCATATAATATTTAGTACACATGAACCTGTACTAAAAAGCCATTTTAGTACAGGTTCATGTCTGATGACATCACTGCTGATCTAATAATTCTGCTGATGTCAGCCTCCTATGATCTTTATCACATATGCAACTGAAAGGTGCATATTTCAACAGTCCTTAACAATGAGGCTGACTGTTAGAGAAAAAGCAACTTCAGACAAAATCTGCTTTGAGAAAAGGTAATTTGATTTATTAGAATACTTGGGAATATAGAAGCAAAGAATGCACAGGTAAATACTATTATAGGGATTCTTAATAAAAATTCTTAATAAAAACAGGAAAGACAGAACAATAAAAACAATAAAATAAAATGCAAATAACATAAAACAACAATGTTAAAAGAATTTAAAATTAATTTAAGGTAGCTTTAAAATACAGTAAAATAGAATTTAAAAAACCTCTCATAAAGTTTTGGTCTGACAGAAAGATGTATGGTATAGAAATGCCTAGTAGTATAAGGTCTTTTTTTGTCCCTGCTGCTACTTAGTGGCTCAAGAAACTCTTCCAAATTAGATTTTCCTTTCTAGGAATAAGTTCTAAAACAACATGTTATTGTCATCTCAAGTTTAGTCCCTTAGCACCTATACTCTAATGAATCCTAAGTAGATGTAACTGTATTTGTTCATATTTACCTATTACCCTTGCCTTTCTTCTTTCCCTTGCCTTTCTCAGTTCCCTTCCCACGATCTGCCTGAAATTGTATGTTTCCTGAAACAAAGACCTGCCTGTGGGTTTTTTTGTTTTTTGGGTTTTTGCATTACTTTGTAAAATAAGATGTGCATTGATACCACCTTGAATCGTTATCAATTGTTATCAGTTCATTCTGGGGGTGAGGTGGATTCAGAATGTCAGATCTCTCTCTCCCTTTCTCTTTTTAACTAGAACTAAGCCCACCAACTAG